AAAATATTATTTTGGACGCTCGATAGTAGTCCGTTAAATGTCGGCATCTTATTACGTTTTCAATAGACTTTTATATTATGCATGCTTTTTGAATTCCCCTTAAGATCAGTGAGCAGGTGAAAAAAGTGACCGAGGGCAACCAACCTCGGAAGCTGCGAGCGCAGTCTCTTTCCACAAGTCCACTCCATGGCGGATATCGGACGCTGCCTGGAAAACGAGAGCGGTCAATTCCAGAATCAAGCAGAGATATCAATCCCAGGAATATGCAACAAAATATGGAAGGAAAGATCACTGATGGTCGCATTTACGTCAGACCAAATTCAAGTGATGGCTCCTCAAGCTCAACTTTGGGTACGTCACACACTTTTGCTACGGACATTATTGACAGAGTATTTCACAATTTTCCTCGATTTACTAATACAAGGGAAAATTGTCATGCTTTATGCTTCCTGGTAAAAATATGTTACAAATACCGGAAGCATCGCCTGTTTAGAGCTTTTTTGTGTTTTGTGCATGCGTTTTAAAGGCCACGACGAAGAAATCTTTATTGTACGAGAAAGTCTGATTTGTTGCCTTTTGCTCTATACTTCAAACGTTTTTAGATTTTTATGGTACATATTATCCAACAGTCATTGGGAATACTCCCAATTATATCCTTTTGGTCGTTAGTGTGAATATCTTATCCTCTTTGTATATCGATATAAAACATCAAAACACAGACACAAGTTGTTTGACTACAGACAACCTTATTCTTTTATTCTGGTACCGCCGAAAAAAATAGTTTAATTTTTTGACAATTTCTCCGACGAATCTACACCTTGCCCTGTAATTCTCAAATTATTTAGGTGGTTCTCGAATTTCTTCGTTGATGTCGTTTGACCAGTCTTTCCATCTACCGGTCACGGACCGAGGTGAAGATGATCGTAAGGCACTTCCCAATTTTCTTTTAATTTGTTTTATACTGTTTACAAGTTTTGCAAGCTTATACACAAAGATATAAATTTGCTGTTGCATTTGTTGGGCTGTTTGATGTTTCTAGGAATGTAAACACGATATCTCTAATTTCTTCAGTATTTTTAAGTGACGTTATAAACGTTGGTGTTATTTGGATTGTGATTCACGGTTAGTGGACAGTTCTGGTAGTTTTTCACTTATTATGGAGGAAATATCTCCCTTGATTTTCCGCGCAGAGAGCTTCTAAAACGGAGGCCAATTTCAGTTTGTTTCAAGGCGCATAAATGACTCCTTAAAAATGCTAATCGATCACACTCTGCAACATATAGATAGTGACAAGATTTATCGTCTTATACGTGCTTAGTATTATGAACAGAAGGAAATTACCGAGAAAGACAAGGGAGACTGGAATGACCAATTCTGGCTTATTAGCCGTCACTAGCCAGCCATGCCTTACCCACAGATGGTGCAGCACCCGAAGTTCGAACCCGCGGCCTTTTGATTATATGTCCAACGCTCTAACTACTGAACCACGGGATCTGGCTGGTTTCTATGGGGTTTGCATTTCCAAAAAAAAGTGCTTGGAATAATACAGTGAAGTCTACAATTTCTGGTTGAGGCGAGGTTCACTGACTCCGCCTTCTTCTTGTTAGTAATTTGTAAGTCTTAGCCAAATTAATTGTGCCTTATATTCGAACAATTTATTGATCCATATCCATTAGACTTTTATTTCAGTCGCTAAAATCACTTATGTGAAATTACGCAGAATAGAGTTTCGCGAATGTTTTTGCATTCACAAACAAATAAAACTTTCGTTTAGACTCGTTTAAAGGTTCCACACGAAAAGAGTCCCGACCGTTTAAGGCGCTTTGAATGTTCATCGATGCGAGTCTTTTATTTAACCCCGAAATATTTAACACTCCGTACACTTTCCTTCGTTAAATATGTGTTGAATTACCACGGTTACTTGCTGCTCATTCAAGTATTTTCATATCTGTATATATGATAATTTTATTTTGGTGTAACAGCAGAGAAGCCGAACTTTATGTTCCCCAACTGCAAACTGACAAGGAGCCCGTAAGCATACTGTGACCGTTGTTACTAATGTTCGGTTAACAGTGTTTTAGGTCTAAGGCAACTAAACACAAAAGATTTAGGGGGAATGCAGCCTATGTCGTATGGAATACGAGGAATAAAGCAGCATCATTTCCAGTTTGACATGCATAGGGACAAGCTGACAAGGGATATCTGACGTCTTCATAATCAATTTCTTAAAAACAGAGCAGACGCGTAAAGACAGGGAGAAGAAAGATGATAACTGTTTAGTCTATCGCATTTGAATTTTCTGTGTTTTTTTAGATAAGGGTGCTCGGTCAACCAACGCTCGGGTTTCCAGTAATCTACCCACAGTCATTGGACGACTCATTTCGCCTTCATCTCAGGACGACTGCATATTTTTCCCGCGGTCCCAAACAGGCAGTCCAAAGAATAGTCCGCTTGGACATACTGACCCGTTAGGCCATAGTCCTTCCATTGAAATGAGGCCAGTGAAAGACGTACCGATTCCAAATTCACGCACAGTCCGGTACGAATCCTTCGAACTGTGTGTGCCTGAACTTTCATTTTTTTCACAGAAACGCCGGAAGTTTGCATCTATTGGCTAAGATCGATAATACTTTGCTGTTAATTTCACCAGCAGCGT